TTTCATTCACTCTTTGGTGCAAGTGACACAAATAAATTCTTGTTTTAGTTTGAAATTCTGAAAACTCGTTATATCAAGTGATAGATTCAGATACAAAGTATAAATTTTTCATATATGTAAAAAACAGAAAAAATTAAGAAAATATTTCATGACTCAAGTATAAACAAAAATAGATTAAAAAAAAAACTTCCGATTTTCTCACTCAAGTGTCGGCGGCTGAAACTTTCAAAAATTTTTGTTCGTAACAGCAGCGCAGCAGCGACGGCTCAATCGCACAGCTTACACCTCTAAGTATAATTATCATTTTATTGAGAAAACATTTATCAATTTTCATTCTTTAATCTCGATGTTCTTGTTTAGATGAATTTTTTTTTGCATAAATATAGAAAGTAATTTTATTCTGACATACTGAACATTCTACCTATGTAATAAATATATTGTTATATCCACTAAAACCAGTCGTCGAATTTCTATTTACAAGTTCCAACTATTTTTTCGAGTTTTCAGATCAGAAACGGCTCATATTTCGTGACTTGAGTTATAAAACACAATGTTTGATTATCTAAATTTGTATTTATTTGATCACTAATTTTAGTAGTTCAAAAACGTCGTCAATCAATAGTTTCAATATCATCGAATGTATTTATTCAACGTCCATTAATAAAATGGTCATTAGTATTTGTATTTAGTCTAATAATACTAAGTACAATTTTTCATCTGTTACAAAAACAATTCGATATTATAGATAAATTTGATTCTAATTTAAATACTATGATAAATTATTTAAAAATAAAAATAGAATATTTTTCTTTAAAAATAATAAATTTTCAACCATATTCAATATCTTTATCGAATATTTTTATACTTTTAATTCGATTTAATTGGATAATATGTTTTATTATTATAAATGAATTATTATTATATCAAAGATATTTTTTAAATTATACTAGACAATATCAATTTGTTAAACAAATATTTCAAGATTGGTATAAGAATAATTATTTGAAATATGGATTTTTAATTTTTTTAATTTTAATTGGTCCATTTTTATTAGAAATGTTTTTATTTTATTCTTCAACAACAATTAAATTTCTTTTGATATATATACGATATTTTTGGTTAATTTCATTTATTATTCTTTGTGAATCATTTACAGGTTATGAATATTCTTCAAAATATATTCAAAAATATCAACAAATTAAACAAAATATACAAGATTGGTGTATAACTCATAGAATTAGACGTGAAATTCTTCTTTTAATTATAATAGCAATACCGTTTCTATTAGATCAAGTTCTAAAAATAATTCTTTATCCTCTATGGACACCAATTATATTTATTATTCGATATAATTGGTTGATTTTAATTTTTATTCTCGATGGAATTTTAATTAAACAAAAATATTTTCCAAATTTTGCTAGAGAATATCAAGAAATAAAAAGCAATATTGATAATCATCTTTCGTATACTCTCGATGAAAAATATACAACAATAAGACGCCGTTTAAACTATTGGTATAAAAATGATAGTTTAAAACGTAGAATAATTATTTTTTCAATATTAATTCTTCCACTTGTCATAGAAATAACTTTTCTTTATATTATACCAATATCAAAGTTATTTTTATTTTTTTCATGGAAATTATTAATATTTATAATACGTTATTGTTGGCTTGTTTTAATAATTATGATAAATGAATGTATTTTTATTGAAAATAATTATTTTCCAAATTATATTAGATTATATAATTCTATAAAAGAAAATATAATTAATTGGCATAACAATAAAACATTTCGACGTGTAATAATTCTTATTTCTATTTTAACTGGTCCATTTATATTAGAAATGTGTTTTATTTGGTTTATACCAATAATGAAATTACTTTTTTTTCTTTTATGGAAATTATGTCTATTTTTAATTCATTATTGTTGGTTGATATTAATAATAATTATTAGTGAAATTTTAAAAGAAAATAATATATTTTCAAGTTATGTAACAAAATATCAATCAATTTTTACAAAAATCGATGGTTGGATTGGAGGTAGTAAGTTAAAAGGTCGTATAGTCATTATTTCAATGTTAACTATTCCAGCTTTATTTGAACATTGTAAAATTGGCTCGATATCAATTAGAGAATGGATGATTTTTCTATTAATAAAATTATTTCTATTTATTATTCATTATTGTTGGTTGATATTAATAATAATTATTAGTGAAATTTTAAAAGAAAATAGTATATTTCCAAGTTATATAGAAAAATATGAATCAATTCTACAAAAAATGCGTTCCTGGGTTAATGATAGTAATTTAAAAAATGGCATAGTCATTATTTCGATATTAACTATTCCAGCTTTATTCGAACATTGTAAAATTGGCTCGATATCAATCAGAGAATGGATTCTTTTTCTTTTAGCAAAATTATTTCTATTGATTATTCGTTATTGTTGGTTAGTATTAATACTAATTATAAGTGAAATTTTACAAGAAAATAATATATTTCCAAGTTATATAGAAAAATATAAATTAATTCAAAGAAAAATCGATCATTGGGCTGATGATAATAAATTTAAAAATGGATTAATTGCTTTATTTATCTTAGCTGGTCCATTTACATTAGAAATGACTTTTATTTGGTTTTTACCTATAATGAAATTACTTTTTTTTCTCGTCTGGAAATTATTTCTATTTTTAATTCGTTATTTTTGGTTTCTATTATTATTAATTATTAGTGAAATCTTAGAAGAAAATGAAATATTTCCAAATTATATTGCAAAATACAAAGAAATGAAACAACAAATCGATTGTTGGAGTGAAAATAATAAATTTAAAAAAGGACTAATCATATTTTTAGTTTTATCTGGTCCATTTCTATTGGAAATATTTCTATTTTATGGCTTAAAGGCGATATTAATAATGATTATTTTCATTTTGAAAAAATCATTTTTTTATTTAGCAAGTATATTTGTTTTTTATTGTTTATTTCGTTTGATTCATCATTGATTAAACAAATCAAAAAACAAACATGAAACTAACTTCAGGTTCTAATCAATTATTTTCGAATGAGACTTTAATCGATTTATGAAAAACTTATCTCTTAGTATAATATAAAATGTCAATAGTTGTTTTTTTTTAATATTTCTACGCAGTTATTACATTACATCCCTACGCTTTTTTAAATGAACAAAATCTTTTAAAAAATTATGATACAAAATATTCTGATGCAGTATTGTACGTTGGTCTATTGCTTGGATCAGTATTACGATTGTATCCGAATGTATTCCGATTTCGTGTATTGCCTCCCGGATACAAAAAAAATCTATTGTTACATTCATCTCTCATATGGCTATCTATGTTCAACGATCGTTTTTTTTAGATCATACGATGCAATTCGCTTCATTTTGTATAATGCTTAGTGGTATATTTGAAGAGTTCGGCTAATGGATGTGCAACTTGCTTGATTGATAAGATTAGAAAATCAGCTGTTGAGTTTCATATATCGAAAACTACTAACAAGGGAACGCCCCAAGCTGCAGCTTAGCTTCAGAGTTGATATTTTGCCCATATGTGGATTTCAATGGGACTAGAAAAAACCACAAAATGATTCGGGTTTCTGGGTCTTTCTTCACGAGGTATGGCAATTTTGCTGCATTTTTTGCCTTTGACTGGCTATTTCGTAGATAATGAAATAATGCGATTTAATGCTAAGATTTTGTCTATAGATAGCTCTAGTGATCATTAACAAATTCTCAAAATTTCAGCCGTTGACTGGGTTCTTTTCATCAGTTATTACGGTTCCATAATAATGCATATATCCTATATCATAGTGTATACATCCAGATTCATTGTGAGTCCAGTAGCTCTTCAAGAGAACATAGTCAACGGCTGAAATTTTGAGAATTTATTATTGATTACTAGAGCTATCCATAGACAAAATTTCAGCGTTCAATAACATTATTTCATTGTCCCCGAAACAGCCAGTTAAGAGCCAAAAATGCAGTAAAATTGTCATAACTCGTGAAGAAATATCTAGAAACCCGAATCCTTTTGGGATTTTTCTAGTCTCAATGAGACTCACATATAGGCAAAATATCAACTCTAAAGCTGAGCTTTACCTCGGGGCGTTCCGTCGTAAGTATAATTTAAAATCCTCAGTAGATATCAGATATTTACTCTATATATATTTTAAAATTCTTAGCAGACAGCAAATATCAGAGTTAGACTATTGGTAGCATTTTATCTTTATGTTGGTCAGTTAAATACGAATGTACTTTTGAACCAAGTGAAAACGAACGAATAAATAGTTTATTGCGAAAAAACAAATTTATACTGGACGGAGAGAAAAGAAAAACAATCATATTCTTCGTTTTTCTTAGAAGACGAATATCGAAAAAAAATGTCTTTAGGTTAACAGAAAAAGAGAAAACGAACATGAGATATGTTCTTAAGTTAAAAGAAAAGAAGATGGATCAATGTGTTGACAAAGGGCAAAATTGAAGAACAACATATATAGTACGTGACCTGGTGATATTAAATAATAGAAGAAATACCAATCAATGTCGAAATCGAGATCCACTAATGCACTTGAGATGAAACTCATCTTTAGGATATGGATGTGGACGTGAGTAGAGTTTTCGATTGTTTTTGGGGTGGGGAGCTAAAAATTTGGCAAAAAGTCAATTTCATTTCTGCAAAGTTTATCGCAGAAATAATATCAGATTTCTCGGAGAAATTTGACAGAAATGAAACCAACTTTCAGCAAGAAATTCGGCAGAAATAACATTGACTTTTTGCGAGGTTGTGGGTGTAAGCAGCGAGAAGACCAACACCTATCCATACCCCATGCTCGATGATAGGGAGAATATATTTGAATTTTTTGTTTGATTTTTTTTCAAAATGAATAAAGAAATGAGAAAAATAAAATCTTAGTGTTTCACGATATCGAATAGATAGAACGATAAATTATGAGTATGAAATATTCTACGATTCAATTGTTTGTTGATTGTAAATTTTATTGTCGACTTAACTGTTGTTGAATACGACGAATTGTTTGATAAAATTCTTTTTTAAAAAGATCTGAAGGTATAATATAAATAATAAAAGTAAGCATTGATGGTACATATGAAATATAATAACCAAGAATAAATAACCAAGGATTTCGTGTTGATTTAACACAACCTGTAGTAAATGAACTAATTAAACGAGGAATTGCTAATGACATTAAAACAACAGGTGATATAAGATGTTTATGAATTTGAAATTGAATATAAAAGTTGATTAAGAGTATACTTATTTTTAATTTTAATTTGTTTTTTAGCATTTGATTTTATTATAAATATTGATGAAAATAAATTTATTGAAAATGGAATAATAAAATGAATAATTAATATAATTGAATTAAATATTCACATAATTGATGAATAACGTACTTGACACCATGTACGTTCTTCTTCAATATCATCAAGTAATTGACGGTGTATTGATTCATGAATATTTGAACCAATTGAGAATATTATTAAAAATAAGAAGATTTTTTTTGCAATTCTTTTACTTTTTTCTTTATTAAAATGAATTCCTTGATGAATTGTCAAAGATCTTTCGGCAGCTACACATGCATTTAACCAATTAGTTATTGAAAAAAATATTTTCAATAAAGATTCAATAGTAATACATCGAACAAGTAAAAATGAACGATTAATAACTAAATTTGATTGTGCTATAAAGAGTAACCAAAAATTCAATGCAAATACACTTATTGCCAATAATGAAATAATTGATGTACCTAATAAATAAATTCCACATCCAACTTCTCGTAATTTCTAATCATAAAAAGTTATAATTGAAAGAGATCCATTTAAAAATCCAAGTATAAACATAATCATTGTTAATATTGCACAAACTGTAACCATTGATGGTTGATTAATAAATGAAATATATCGTTTAATTTCAAAATTAAAAATAGCATCTAATGATAAACTAAATCCTTCAGCATAATATTGACATCGATCTCCATAATAACAATTTGAACAAATACAAATAAGAGTTGATGAACATATTGGTTTATCTTGAAAACATTTTTTCCATTATTCATACAATAATCATTGCGACGACATAAATATGATTTATATCGTTTTAAATTAAAATAATTTGCATGATATTCATTCGTACATAAACACATTAAACTTTCATCAAAATAACAATTTAATTCTTTATATTTATTACAAACATCATGATAATATTTAACACGTCGTAATGGATGCCAATTTATCATTGTTAAATTAAAAAGTTCTTCATAAGATGGACATCGATCAGATGAATGAATACGTTTTATAATTGATAAATTATTATTTAATGATGAATATATTAAATAATAATCATTATTTACTTCAATAAATACAAGATGAAATTCAATTGTTAAATTAAGACTAACATAACGATGATCAATACTTATCTTTTTAACAATAGTTGTACGTGTAAGTTGTGCTTTTGAATTAACAGTAATTAAATGTATAAAAATATGTGAAGGTTGATCAATATCACCTAGAGAAATTTCTAATTTTCTTCTCGATTGTTCACATGTTGGACCTGTAAAATATTCAGTACAAATACATTGAAAATTATTATTTGAATTATCATCATTAATTGGAATATATGTTCCTCTATTTTTGCAAATATCTGTCGTATATACAATAGAAAGACGACATCGAGGTCCGAACCTGTTTAAAGGACATATACAAATCGAATGAGAGTTTGTCGAACCAATACACAATGAATTATTCCAACAATTATTACAATTAATAGACGTTTGACATTGAGCACCCCACTAGCCTGACTTGCAAAGACAAAAAGGTTCTTCTGTTTTGACATAGCTCATACATTTGTGGCCTTCGCCACAGTCGAGAGAACAATTCTTTACCGGCTCACTTTTCTTTATTGGTACATTAATTTGAGTAGCCAATCGATTAACGGGTAAAAAGATGGATGGAATGGGTAAATTCCAACTAGCATGATAATCAATAGAATTTTTTCTTCGAGTAAATATATCAATTCGTATACTGTAATTATTTGAAATAACTTTGGGTCGTGATGAATATAAAAGATAAATATTGTATTTTATAGGACAATCATATTGAGATTTATGAATTATTTCTTCATACGAATGAATTTCTTGTTTATCTTTGTCATTATTAATCAACATAACAAGTAAAATATAAATTGTATTCAAATCTTCTGTTAAAACACTTAATGTAAGACTAACACGTTGATTTTGATATCGACATTCATTACCATAGTAAGAGGGTGGACAAAGACAAATTCGAAAAAATTGATTATCACCAATTGATTGACGTAGATGAAGCCCACGATTGCATTTTAAAGCCCACAATGATTCTTCTGGTCTATTTAATATTGGATAAATAACACCTTGTTTGTTTTGAATATTTGTAGTAGAAGATGATGATGATGATGATGTCAATTTGAAATAATGAACAATTGGATTGAAACTTCTATTTATATTACATAAGAATTGTTCTTCTCTAGTGATATTATATGTGTTATATTGAAAACAACTCGGTTCCTGTCTATATCCTTTACAGAACACTTCGTCACCATTCTCTTCTACGCAATTATTCTGTTCATTGCACATTGATAAAAATGAAACACATTGATCACTATTTGCACAATGAAATCCTTGTAATTGATTTGGATGTTTATTTCGACAAATATTCATTTCATCAGTAGCACCTAAACAATCAATAATTCCATCGTTAGTTCGATTCATTGATAAACATATCATTGTTAAATTAATTGGTGAAACACAATCATGTTCAAAAGAAGAACATGTTGAATGAAAACATCCTGTTTCATCACTTCTATTTTCACATGCCCATGAATGATTACAACGTGTATACATATTTGAACAAGGCCATTGTTCACCACAATCAGTCTCATCTGATTCAATTCTTCCATCAATAAGTAAAGGAATCATTTGAGGAATATTATTACATATCATTTGAAATGGTATTGATAAAATACGATTTTCATTTGTTGTATACATAGAACAGATAGATTGTGATAATATTGGAGATAAACATTTATTTTCATTTGGACATAAGCGACGATAAGTATGATTGAGGGTACAACTTACATTATATAATTCATCATCGTTTTCAATACAATCTGAAATTCCATCAATAAGACGATGTTTAGAAATGAATTTTTCTGAATTTGTGCATTGATAAAGTGTTTTATGTGTTTGATTATCTATTGAATAGATTGGTCTTGTACAAGAATGAAATCGTTTTTTAAGTGCCAATACAAATGAATACCATTCTCGATATATAATATTCGAACTAAAACCCATTTCTGAACTCGATTGACAGGTTAAATCATATATATAGATTGTTGGATGAAAATCACAACGTTCTTGATCATAACAAATAAAAGTAGGCATGAATACACGACTAGAATCGAAATAGGGTTGATTTCTGCCCTGTTTATTATTTTCAGCGACAAGGATTCACTGAGTACAGTTTGTAGATAATAACTATTTTCCTATATAAAATCTTGTTTCAACATAAATATTCATCAGCCTATCTAAACTAAGATATGAAGGATAAGTCAATCCATATTCGCCTAGTTCACTGAGTAATATTCGCCCAATCTTATCATGTTTATGCCACAAATGAACACGGTAGATTATACTTTCTTCCGAATCTGATACTTATTTTTTATTGTAATCCATGATATACATATCTTCCAATCGAATGTCACCAAAGATACTTTGAGGAGATATAAGACCTCGACTAACGACTTTAATACCAATCGTGACTTGACTATTCTCAATTGATGTAGCTAAAGAATATCTTTATACGATTATTAACTGTATTGACTACATACAAGTTATCATTGACATTATCAATAAATAAACCTTGTGGATAACAATAAACTATTTTCATTCGAAAGATATCGACCAGCTCGATTAATAAAAAACGATACCTTATGTATCCCATGTGGCATTTACTAATGGAACAGGGCAAACTAATGATGCCGGTACTTTATTTGTTGACTCTGAATAATTTAAAAGAAAAGGAGAATTATATTATAAATACTTTTCGAATAAAAATCTGTTTTATATTTTAATAATACGGTAGTGTTTCTCTTGAGGTGTCTGTTAAATTATGGTAGATCGGAGAATTCTGTTTTCGAATAAAAAAGTATCTCTATCTTTGTATTTTTGTGTATAAGTTTATTTTAATGAAAAGTCTAAGTTGAAATAATAATTCTTTTTTCAAAAGTTTAATTATAAATTTATAAAACATTTCTTTGGTCATATAATTTTTCTCGTTCTCCCTTTTTTTCTTTTTTAGGTTAACTCTCAGTTGCCTATTGGTAATATATCTGATAGGAATTTGTATTTAGATATGTATGTGAGAGAGTTAACATTCAAGTGGTTTGCTAACGTGTTCCTGGCAAGAAGAAAGTAAGCTAAAAGATGAACTTGTAAATCAGTGTTATACTTGTTTTCACTATTTGAGCTGGAGGTTTTGCATTTTTATTTGTTATTGTATTAGAATAAAAGATAAGTTGATTAAAGTTTAAGCTCTCAAATAAAAGTGTCTTTGTATTGATATTAAACTTATCATCGAATGTTTTGTTTTTAAAATAAAATAAAATGAATTTCTATCTAATATCCACTCAATTGTATCCCATATTAAGGATTTTGATTTACCTACTGAAAAATCCTCAATTAAATATTAATAGTTTTGTTGAATAGTTGAAACTCTTTTTCTTCATAATTAGAAACAAAATGATTTAAGTAATTGTTGAAGAAAAAAAATGATTCTATTTCACATGTATAAACAAACAGAAGCATTCGTATTGCTGTGAAATGAAATCAGATGTGTGAAATAGGTATTAGCAAATATTTCGAATAATTATCAAAGATCGTCAATACAAAAAGTCAATGTTTATATGAAAAAATGTCTCTAGAAGTTAATATAAGATAAGTTAATTTGAATTATTAAAAGATTGATAATGATGATTTTAGCATCAAACTGAAATGTAATATAAAAATAAAACATATCATTTCAATCTTCAGAATAATATCTTATCAATTCACATCAAATTGACGTATTTTATCCTTCAAACAAGGGATAAAAATAATTTATAATGGTACTTGATGGAAAAATATTATTTAAAAAAAAATTTTAATTTGAATAATGATGAAGATAAATCAATATTAATAAAATCATTTTGTTTATTATTTTGGTTTAAACAAAACATTTTATATATCATACTTCATTTTCAATTAAAGAATATCACTTATTATTCATCTATTTTTCCATTATTATTCATCTATTTTCCCATATGTAATAACAACAGTAATACCGTTAAATATTAAAGCTTTATCAACGTAAACTTGATGTTTATATTGCATACTTTTTCAAAAGATAAACTTGACAAATTTATAGAACATTTCCTTCGATTAAATTATCTTATAATAAAATAGAAATACTTTGCTAATGTGAATAATAATGGAGCTTTTGTTGCGTTCTGACTCGAGATAAACGAATACAATGGTCTCATGTGTTTCTTTCTCGATGACAATGAGAGATGAAGCCAACAGAAACAAAAAGAAGAATAGACAAACGCAAACAGAAAGCATATGTGGCATTGAAATGAAAAATATCCATCACTATGCATCTATCTGTATATATGAAAGACGATGAAGAATTATACTAAATTTATTTATGTATTTTTTAAAAAACTCAGAAATGTCCAAGACCATGAGACAAATGAATAACATAACGCAAAAAAATAGCATTAGTACAAGAACTGGTAACTTAATTTCTAAATCAAAATTTAGTTAGAAAAACAAACAAACTTACATCGATGTTTTAATTGGATAAAGCTGACTTCGTGTGATACAGACACAGAAAAATAGATGAAAATGCTAATTTAAGAAAAAAAAATAGAGCAGAGATTTAATCATGTAACTGAAGTCCCATTTGTTAATAATTTTACATTTCCGGTAGTTATGAAAACAAAAAGAGAAAAATACATAATAAAGGGAATTTTTACATAATTGCGTTTTCCATCTTTTTATAAAAACTTTTTTTTTAAATATCTCCAAAGCAATACAAAACACCAAGCATCAGTTATAAACATTTTCCTTATTTCGATTTTTCCACATAATCAATTATGAACCATTTTTGAAGAGAAATATCAAATATATTGCTTGAATTGCAGGCATCTCGAAAGGAGTAAAGTAAAATTCAAAAGATACAACCAAAAAAAAAAACTTGGTCCTGCACATGTCTTAGTAATCTTTATCGATGCTTTAGTCTAAGTAAGATGAATTCATTTTAAGAACAAGTGTTACATATATGAAAACGATTATTCACAATCGAAATAAGTCATTATAAAATTACACTCAAACATGCGTATGATTTTCAAAATAAAATTTTTGAAAAAAATTTGTCATTGTTGCTACTTTATATTTTTATTATCTTTCAAAGTATAAATAGGAATTTATTATCTCATGCACAAGTTTTATAGACCCGAATTATAAAATAACTATGATTATAAACTTGAATGTATTAACAAGAATACAGTGAAAATGAATATAAATATAGAATAACCCTCGAACTATTTACATTAAATTCTTTTCTCTTCCAGTGTAGGGTATTATATAGGATGAAACTGATAACATGTATGTGCACATATATATCCAGTAGAATAGAAAAAAATGTGTTTATCAGATTCTTTCTATTATAATCGAATTACAAGTCAACATGAAATTTGAATTATTACCAAATGAAATTTTCATTGAAATATTTGAATTTCTTAGTATATTTGATATATTTTATTCATTTAATCAGTTAAATAATTATTTTAATCAACTTATTCGGACAATTCCATTACATGTTAATTTTAAGAATATTCAAAAATCAATATTTGATCGATTTTGTAAATTCTTATTATCAAATTCTGATGTAAAAAATCAAATTTATTCATTAGTATTATCAAATAAAGATACATCTGATCAAATAAAAACATTTTTATCATTATTTTCATTGAATGAATTTCTTCATCTTCATTCATTAACATTAATTCAAGTGGAAGAAAATATTTTACAAAAATTAAAATTAATAATACCTTTAATACCACAATTACATTCTTTTCATTTATTTGATTCTAATGATATTTATTTAACTGATCCATTAACATCTAATTTAGAAATATTATCAATTCCAACATTATCATCAATTAATAAATTTTCATCAATTACAAATCTCACAATTTCTGCTTGTTCACTCGATCAATTATTTCATTATCTATTCAAATATGCACCAATGTTAACTTATCTCAATATTCAATATCTTTCTTCATATTATTCTTATACAACAAATTATTCAAATATTGATTTCATGAAAGCTATTCATTTAAAAGAATTGATTATATCTAATTTTGAATATAAATTTGAAGATTTTAAATTATTAGCAAAATATATACCAAAATTAACAAGTTTAAAATTCTATGGAACTTATGATTTAGATATGATTGATGCTAATCAATGGGAATATTTAATTATATCTTTATTACCTTATTTAGATACATTTAAATTCATATTTAATTATATATATAAACGTAATGATAATCATATTGAAGATAAATTAAATAAATTTCAAACTGATTTTTGGATAAAACAACATCAATGGTATACTGAATATTCATTATCAAACTATTCGGCATTGATTTATACAATACCTTATATGTTAAATTCTTATACATTAGAATTAGATTCTAATAGATATTCAAATCAGTTAATTAAAACATTTAATAATGTGAAAAATTTAACAATATATCATACAACAATAAGAGAATCAGGTGGACATTATTTTTCAAATGTTACATCATTAACAATTCTTCCTCCGAAATATGCTTATAGACCACAATTAGGAACACAAGCAATTAAATCATTAAAAAATATTGTTAATTTATCTAATTTAAAATATTTGGGAATTTCATTTGAATTTAAAATAAAAGATGCATATGTATTATTAAGAATATTACAAGAAGCACCAAAAATATCATCAATAATGATTAGTATTCGTGCTTTAGAACATTTTGCATATAATGATGAAGCATGTGAATATTTAAATAAAATGATTAAAAAATTGGATATTTATAAATATCATTCTTCTTCATTTAAATTTCATCACCAGATTGAAAATTTTTGTAAAATATTTTCGAATATTGAACAACTTAAATGTAATATTGATCGAGCAAATGATTTATTATATTCATTAAATCATTTACCAAAATTATCAATGTTAAAAGCTTATTTATGGCAAATAAGTGATTATGATTATTTTTATTCTTGGTTTAAAAAAGCAACAAAAAAATTAAATCTATTATTTAATATCAACTATAGGGATAAACAAGAAACAGAATTATCGATTTGGATTAACAGAAATATTAGCTGACTTTGTTTGTGTTTTTTTATTAACATTCATTTATTTAGTTGTCTAGTTTTTATTCATAGAAAGAAATTTTATTTTAAATCTATAACTCATTTATTTAAATTCATAGCAAACAACATTTGATAGACTAATGATAATGTAAACTTCACTGTTTGTAGCTGAAAATGGATACTAAACAATACCAATATGTAAAATAGAATGAAAGACAGAGTTGACTAATAGCTATCCATTTATTCAATTCATCAAGAAGAGTATATTGTGATTTAGATGAATCATTTAGTGATGATAAAGATGATACATACCAAAGACATATTGATAAATCATAACCTTCATTCGATGAAACATTTAGATGATTAGCATCATTAAATTATCATACTACATATCGTTTATCATATGACCACATAATACCTCGTGGCGCTCTAATCATCGATGGATTAACTAAATAAACGTCGAATCCAGGCATTACAAAACTCACCTTCACCCTCATAACAGACTCTTATACTCATTTCCTTACAAAACGCTGCAGCGAAATTAATCTCTGCATTTTTTTTTATTCAGTTTTATATATAAAATATTATTTCTGTTGTTAACACACTTTGATATGGTCGACTATTGAAAAGTAAGAGGTGAGACTAGCAACCGGAATTTATCTTTTCGTCAAGACATTGATGGATCTATTTCCAATCGACTAGTATTTGGTAAAAATAAGCTAATGTTGTTTTATAGACTGTTTAATAAAGTGTTTTGAGATGAAAAATATGTTTCTTCTTCACATTATCAAATTCATATTTAACAAACTTGAATGTGGCAACTGTATTAATTAAAAATTCTTCTTCTTCAGGAAAGTCAGACAATAGAGAGACGTTTACACCATAGAAGTCAGCGTGTTTACCTAAATCAATAATGAAAAGAGTGTTGCCAAATTGTTCAGCTAGTTCCTGATTCTCGCTTGTTGAAGTGAATGAAGTAAAACATGCTCTTTCACCTTCTTTTTTAATATATTCTTGTCGTTGTTGATCAGTTAGTGTGACGCCACGATAAACAATGAGGTTATTTCTTGTATTTAATTGGTTCAAATATGTGCAGAGTAGCCAAGAAAATGGCCCTAATGTTTTTAACTGTTCACAAGTAATTGTTTCAGGATTGCGGAGTACAGAATTAATCAATTTGTACAAAAATGATTCTTTAGTATAGAGATAAACACATGTTTGACTAATAATAGGTGGAAGTTTAGTATGCATCTCTGCCTCCACCGTATTTCCAAAATGTTTAATTGCACTTAACTACTCAGCTAACCATTCAGCTTCATATGGTTTGCTGAGCTTGGTTCCTTCGATAATGATTCCTTGGGTAGCTTCCTCGACAACGTCAGATACAGTTTTTCGCTTGTTTTTGAGCTCTTCTGTGTAGTAACAGTATGAAAAATTATTTCCCCATCGCTTCAGGCGAAAGTCCTCATCAGTTTCAACTTGTGATGATGGTTTTATAGCGATTGGCAACGAGAATCGTTCTTTTCTCAAATGAATATTACTTCGATTAGTTAGTAAGTGAACGCGTTTTATTGGACGTTGTTTGTTCTGCTCATTTTTCTTGTATTGAATGTAATGCTGTAGATTAATAATATAGTCACCATCAATTTCTATCACTACTTTGTTCTCATGAAATGCATCTTCAATAATTTCATTTTCAACGTCAGTGTATTTCATCCATTTTTCTTCGATAGACCAAGGATTGACAGAGCAGTTCCAATACCATTGATAATTATGTGGACGACAAAGGATAGGTGCATTTGTAGTAGTCGCACAATCAGTAGTCATTTTGTATTCTTTCTATTTTAAACAACGCACAATGATGACGGTTTTTTCACATGCATGTCACGCATTCTTTCTTTCTTTTTGTTTCTTTTAAAAACAAAAATACAATCATTACGTATCACCATAGACTAGGGTGCTCCACTCTAGGGTACCGAAAAATCACTCTCAAAGTGAATTTTTTCTCTTTCTAAGTGTTACGTTTTTTTAAGAGCGATTAGTGAGCACACACTGAAAGTTTCTCTAATAGAAGAAAAAAGAAAATGAACTATCTTGAGGATGAGAGTGGGATGAGCTTGAATAGATGAATTTGAAGCTACTTATGACGATCGTTTCGACCTTGCTTAAGGGCCATCATCAGATAAATTTGTAAATTGAACATATACGGCATAGAATTTGATCTGAAAACAATAGATAATTATAGAGTTAAGGGTAGGCGTGAGTGTGAGTGTTGGTATCACTTGAGTGTACCCTTCTCCCACACCCACACCCACATCCACAGCCTTTCATTGAAAAGCATTAGATATTCTAGAAATTATTCCAAGCGAAGCTCTCGATCTTGCGACAATGTACGCGAACTTACGTGAAACCTATCGGGAAATGGAAAATTATTCAACAGCTTTGACATATCTTTAAAAGCATTACAAATACATGAAAGCAAACTATCCAAAAATCATCCTCATTTAGTTGTGATTTATCACAATTTGGCGATATTATATCTGATTACTAGAAAATAGAGCATGACAATGAAAAATATTCAACAAGAAATAGACATTGGTTAGGAGAGACTGTCTTCAACTCATCCTCATCCTTTGAACTATAAACAAACATTTGAAAAAATTCAAAAGAAATTGTGGGACTCTTATTGTTTTTTATTGCTACGTAAGCTTATTCGCGTTGCCGTGCATTCATTCATTCTCATAAATATGATGAATGGATGTGGATGAGAGATGACTTTAAGAAAGGTAATTTTCATATTTTCTGATAGATTTCATCTTTATTTGACCGTATTATCTGCGAAAATTCATCTTGTTTTGCCTTTAACCAATGTAATATAGACAGCGAGAAACAGGCCACTTCGTGTGCTACATAAATGATTATATTCATGGACTAGTTCGTATAGCATATTGTCTTGGTTCAGGATGTGGGTTTAGGTGTGGTTTTATCCTTTCCCAACACACCCACACTCAAAAAAATTGAAATTCCCTTGTGAAGGTGTTCAAACGGGGAGAACAAGTTGGGACCTCCCAGCCAAATTGGCTCTTACCTAGTCCCTCTATTACAAACGCGAGAAGTCTGAAAATTTTACCATAGATGTCTCTCGTTAAGGTGATCGTTTTTTTTATACCGGACATTTTTATCCCCCATGTTCTGCTTTTTGGGAAAAGTCCTACAGAAAATGCTAATTTTTGACATTTTTTGAACTGAAATATCTCTATGAAGCCCAAAGAGAATTTTGACTTTCATTAGTGCTCTAGAATCAGCTAACTGTTCTCTATCTAATGCTGAAACCTCTAGATCTGTAGCTTGGCTCTGAGCCAAATGACAAAGCCATCTTTGGAGTCTACTTTCTAATTTTTCCCAAGTTTCTACTCTCCTCAGATATAACTACGGGATCGTCAAAACTTTTTCTATAGTGGAGCTTCATCAGCACACCTAACTCTACTAGTCCTGAAGTATTTAGTTTTGTCCAATGAGATTTGATCGAGCAAAGCGATTTTAAAGATTTTCTGAAGAAAACGTTTTTTTGTTTCGAGTGTTATGAATACTTTACAAAATCTTCAAAATCAGATTTCTCGATCAACTCTCATTGGACAAAAATAAAAATTTCAGGACTGGTAGAGCTAGGTTTGCTGATGGAGTTTCACTATGGAAAAGGTTTTGGCAATTCTCAAAAACTCGAAAATTTGAAAATTTTTGAGGTACTACATACGTGTACCTCTGGACCTCAAAGGGTTAAGCTATTTTCTGCAGTACTATTTATGCAGGAGGGTTTTTGCATGTTTACAAATGTAATTATCTCGCTTTCTCTTCGAATATCTTTCAGCTATCTGGTTCGCACCTGAGTATCCGACTGATAAAGGAGTCATGTTGTGCACACTCTCGTCGATTTTGTCAACAAAAACATCTCAAAACTAGTTTATTATGGAGAATGGTTCGTATTAGTGAAGTATTGATTTAGGATTGTGTAAGATGAGAAAGCATTCTAAAACAAACATGAAAATTACGCAATGAAATATTTTTTCTTTCAACTATTGGTATTTTGCCATTAGCATCCTTACATGATATGCTGGAAATTTCACAAGCAATTTTGTAGTCGTAAAATTTTTGATGTACTTGAACTATAAGATAATGCCAATATTTTTCAAAATTTTGGAATCTATGTATTCTTAGGATCCAAAATATACCACACAGTTTCTACTCTATCTTCTACATATGATAGGTTATTCAAATTGCGTCACTTTTGACATACCAGTTAGTTAAGCGTTAGATTCACCAGATTATCCTAAAGAGTTACATTGAAATGAATCAAAATTTTGGAAAGTATTTAGTTTTAAAAAACCGTCATATATCGGAAGATAAGTTTTCATAATCGAATTATCTTAGAAACTCGACATGTTATAACAAGTATATAGATCAACTGAGTACTTGAAGGGTGTGGGGTGTGGGTGTGGGTGCGAGTGTGGGTCTCTCTTAATATATCCAAACCCACACCCACACTCGCAATGAGATTTAGAAGCTTTTCTTATAGACAGTAGATGAAACCTTGGTTAGATCGAACCGAATCGAACTCGAACCGTCTTTTATAAAATCAAGCCGAACCGAACCGAACCCGAACCAAGTTCTACAAAATGGAGACGAATCAAACCGAACTCGAACCAACAAAAGTCGGTTCGATTCGGGCTCTGTATACGAGTAAGGTTCTTTTATTTTAGAATGTTTCCAGATTGGGGAAAAAACCGATGATTTTTTTATCGCCTTCTTTAGTGTTGTTTTATCAAGGTCGAAATATAAAAGACAAGATAGAATATGATAACAATACTGAAATTGTAGGAACGGTGGAGCGATGATGCTGCAGAAGTGCCAGTACTATTATTATCATCAAGAATCATTTGTGCACCTTTTTCTCCAATCATATATACTGGAGCTTGAGTGTTTCCTGAAGTAATGAATGGCATGATTGAAGCATCGATCACACGTAATCCGACAATACCACGAACACGAAGACGTGGATCAACAACAGCCATTGAATCAATGCCCATCTTACAAGTTCCAGTGAAGTGATCTCCAGAGTTAGAGTTAGCTGTGGAAGATTTATTTCCATAGAGATAATTCTTAAATTCAATATCGTCTGAAAGATTAGAAAAACTATGGAAGCCAGAGTTATGCATGGGGGCAGTACTAAAAATTTGATTAACACGACGGATACCTTCCATAAGAGTATTGACATCATGTGAGGCAGGATCGGAGAAATAGTTCATTTGAACAATGGGCGCATCAGTCGGATCACGTGATGCCAAAATGACACGACCACGTGAATTCGGTTGGAGTAAATAGGCTAAAGCCCATAAACTGGTACCATTCGGTGTTCCGATAATGACTTGAATATCAGGACGAGAATCATTAACTGGCTGAAATTTTGTACGAATAAAAACGTTTGTGCGAGAACTGCTGGAAGCTAAAATACCCGTGCGATTGTAATTAAATAAATCCCAAGCTGCTTGATTGATAATCGAACCAGGAGGCATAGGAAATGGCGAACTACTGTCAACATTCCATAAGCCAGTGGTAATCACATGATCTTGCAGATTTTCACCCACACCAGGTAAGTCTTGAATCACTGGAATACCAAGTTTGTTCAGTTCTATCGTATTACCGATTCCGGATAGAAGAAGTAGTTGAGGTGATCTCAAACTTCCCAATGAGACAATAATTTCCTTTTTAGCAGAAGTAGTATGAGCTTCTCTCGTTTCCAAATCGTACCAGTCGACACTTATGGCTCGTCTTTTGCTGACGTCAAAGTTAACTTTGGACACTAAACTGGAATCTTGCACCCAAAGATTGTTGCGATTCAACACAGGACGAATATATGCGCCAAAGGCAGTTTGACGAGTTCCATTGAGAATGGTAAATTCATGAAAGCCGACAGAACCGAAAGGGGAAATGATTTGCTGAGCTCCATTCCAGTCTTCGACAAAAGTCATGTTTAAGGCTTGACAAGCTTGAACAATGAGCATATCTTCAGGAGGTTCATATCCTCCAGGACTCAGATGAAGAGGTCCTGTACTTCCATGATAAGTGGGATTTTTCGCATAACGTGGAGAAGTCTCTACTCGTTTAAAGTAAGGTAGAAGATTTTGATAATTCCAATCAGCTCCCACTTGTTTCGCCCATATATCGTAATCCAAAGAATTTCC